GGGGGGGATGGGGGGCGGGTCTTGAGACATTTTTGCCATTCCCATAGGAATTAGTTTCAATCCAGTCTTACTGGTTACCAGTGCTACTTCATGTTCTTTACGCCAAACTTGCTACAGAAGTAGCACTTCCATTAGTGCTGGCTAATCTTAAGTGAGAACGGGCATGGGTGCTGAGAAAACAAATGTCACAGACCACGAAGCTATTTGTTCAGCAGGATGCCATGGGGTGTCACCAACACACTCAGTACAGTCCGGCTTTTAACCAGGGCATCTCATGGAACTGATGTCAATGTGAAATGATTGTGTTTATTGAAAATGCAAAACTCAAAAACCAGAGCCTGGAAGTCTTCATCAAACTGGCCTGGAAACAAACTATCAGGGTCTCTGACAAGATGGTTGGATATGCTGAAATTGAGAGCAAGAAGCCCAAGAGCTGTGCAACAAGCAACTGTGTGCTTGTAAATGCAGGGAATCTGCTGCTTAGGCTTAGCAGACTTCAGAGCTCCTTCTCACTGTGTACTTGTAGAACCAGTTTTGAAATCAGACAGACTTACTTTACCAAAACCAGGGGTGGCTGAAGGAAAACATGGTACTCCGTGATTCTAAGAAGCCTTTTAAAAAGATGGAGAACTGAATTGTAGGAGTTCATTTTCAAATGAACCTTCCAAAAATTAACAGCAAAAGTTTCATATTTTTCCATATATCTTGTGTGCAAGTTGTTTTATTCCTTAGTAATTCTGTTAATTTGCTTGTGACTAAGAAATGAAATGACACTGTGAAGGGCTGTCTGCTTTTAGACATGCAAGTGGACTGTTGAGAATACAAACCAAGCCATTGATAAGCTGCCCACTGTTATAGGGAAGCTGTTCTGACCTCCAGACAGCTGCTCCTTCTGCAGTTGGATGGACTAGAAGAATTAGGAAAAACAATTATCACCCGAACCAGTTGGAAAATGGAATGGCACTTGATTTTTTCAGTGCATGTATTGAACTGTCTCCCTTGTCAGTAGATGATAAAGTAATTACAAGGGCTTAGACTACATGCATAAGTTTGCATGCTAGATTCTTGTAGACAAGAAATGGTGCTTTCTAATTAAGCTCCACACCCATGATATAGATGGCAAAGTCCAAGTTTCAAAGAGGAAACCACAGTTGCAGGCAAAACCGGCTGACCAGGCAGTTGCTGCCTTTCTTCATTTACAGCTCTGGCAGCTTGGCCGTGTAGTCTTATTGTATAGCACTAGCAAGGTGTGGGATGGGGCATGTGCATGTGATCTGTTTACTGTGTACAACCTCTGCAAAAGAATACCTGCATAATCTTATTAAGGCTCCATATTCATTTTGTATGTTGTGTATCAAATGGAAGGAATAAATTGGTTTACTAGCAGTTTTAAAAAGTCTACCTCAGTTCTGTTTTTATGGTACATTCTGTTGCTCTTGAGATTTATTTGAAAGAAGCCTTTGCAGCTCATTAATGTAACACTGTATTGCAAAATCCAGAAAAGCCTGTTACAGTAGTGCTATCAAACATGAACTGACTTGTCGTGTGACAGCTGCTCAGGATTCCTGTTTACACTTTCTTGTTTCTGCAGCCATTTTTGCTATGTTTACCCTTACAGCACCATTGACATGGAGTGTAAAAAACCCCATTCTTTCCATTTCATCAGACAGTGTGAGGGGAAAGACTTTCTGATTCTGTTGCATTCTTGCACCAGAAAATTCCTGGCAAATGTGAGGAGTCAGAGGGTAGTAGCATGTTCTGAATAGGCATTTATACCATCCTCCATATATATCAAATACATAAACATACAGAACTTGTAGCTGATGTCTGCAAATATCTGCTGAATAGACATTTTGGGGTTTGTTTCAGTCCTGCTGTAAAGGGATGATAAGTCACTTATCCTTTCTCCAGAACTGTTAGACATACTGACCGTCACTGTCAAAGGTTATTGCTCTTAACTTATTTAGACAACATTAACACCAGTTACTGAATGAGCAGTATATAATTGCGAATAGAAGTGCCAAGGATCATGCTGAGTAACAGACTCTGTAGCTCTGTTTAAAGAAAAATGACACCTTAATTTTAAGCGCTGTATAATTAGACCTTGAAAGTACTGTGTTTTTGAATAGAGATGCAGCATTTGCAGTGGGGAGAAAGTTTGAAGTTCTGCCATTTTTTTAAGACTACCAAATTGCAGTAACCACTTAATTGTTGATTTAACTGGTGATATTTTAGTGGCTACTTCTCTAGTGCTGTCAAGGTTAATAATTTGCTGTGGTAACTTAATTCTCAAATTTTGCTGAGAATAAAATATTCAGTGGCTTCTAAAAACTTCTGCATAATTGCTTATCTGAGCTTGTAATAATGATATGATAGTCTGACAAAATATAGAAGCTTCTGTATAATTTATATGAAAGTAGGGCATTCCACCCAAAGTATGAGTCTGGTATAAGGAGAACTGGACAAATATGAAACTAACAACAAAAAAACCTGAAAACCCTAAGATTTCTTTTCATTGTATTGAACTCCTCATACAGTAAGTGGGGTTTTCTGTTTGTTTGGTTTGGATTTATTTTGTTTACTTTTATTTTAAATTTTTTAAATGTAAAAACCAATTCTTAATTAGATGAGCTCTAGTATTCTACTGCAATTTTCACTGTAACAAAAATATTTGAGGACTTACTATTATCTGCTCAAAAAGTCCTTCATGGATAAAAAACTGCTCTTGCCAAAGGGGTGTTGATTCTTCCTTATTATGTAGCTTCACTATCCTTTCATAATTTGTTATTCCCCTTCACCTTAAGCTTAGGACTATAAAAGGAAACGTAGCAAAGAGATTCCTTAAGAGGTTCATGTGTTGTTTCCTTCAAAAACCTTGGCTCTGTGCTTCTCTCATTTGCTTTACATTTCCATAACCATCTAGAAAATGGCTTTTAGGGTTTGAGAGGTTTTGTTGTTATTTGTTTGTTTTCCAGTTTAATTTTTTCTTTGGTATTTATATTTAATTATGTTTGAACTTACATTTGTTTAATTCCTGCTGACTTTCAACATATATAGTTTTAATTAGACTTGTAAATATTGATTTTTCTTTGTAATGACCTTCCTTTCACTGAAATATTGTTAATAAGTTGAATATGTAAGTTCCCATGGCTTCCTAGAGTGATTATTAGTCATGCAGGTAGCAGCCCTTTTGTCTTCCTTTAGTTATATATTCTGTAAGTGCTACAAGTTGATCTTAAAATTGTTGAATGTATTACATGGAGCTTGTAAGTAATTTCATATTCTCAGCATACTTGTTATTACTTAATACTTTTTGGTCCATATCACGAGTTTTGTATCCTGTCTTTGTTTGTTTTCCCTGTACTCATTCTATTCTCACAGGAATATGAGGATGCCACGAAATAATGTTTCAGTTTTTGTTGATTTGCCATCCCATGTCAAGGGAATCAGATGACTCAAAGATGAGTTGCAAGTGCTCTTAAATGAATAATAGAAATAATACTTTAGTATTTTGAGTAATAATCAAAAGTACTAAAACACTGAACGCTTGTTTCAGAACTGGAACCTATTAACATGTTGAAGATAAGTTCAGGTGTTGTCTGTGTGTTCTAGTTGCTGCATAGTTAAATGAGATTTCCCTTTCTGTGGCTCCATATATGGCTTTCATGCCTCACTAACTGAATTTTCCTGTCAAGTTCCAGTGGGTCTGAAAGAAAGGTAAATTGCTAAATTTTAATTAGCTCAAGCCTGAGTCAACTATAAATGAATTTAAGAAAAAAAATCATTGAGAAACAAAGTTCTTTACCTCAGAATTCCAGTTCTTTCCCCTGGGAAGGTAAATCAAACCTCTGAACTACCTGTTCACTCTTTGATGGCTTCTTTGGACAATATTATTTCACTGTATTGGTGTGCTGACTTTGATATCTTATGCTTGGTAGTAGTATAAGTAAGCTGGTGTTATACAGTGTATATAATGATTAACCTGTGGTAGCTCCAGAATGTCTACCTGCTGACCTGTTTTGGGCACCAGTGGTTCAAAACTCTTCTCATTTGTAAATGCTGTTGAATTAGGAAAGTGTTTTGACTCACATTTACTCCTGTCATGTAATGTACTTCACTAAACAAAATAATATATTGAAAAATTCTTGATAATTTTAGAGACTTGTTTCACACTGGCTGCTTAGTAGTAGCTCTCATTGTGTGCAGAGCTTTCAGACATCTTAAAAAAAGGTTGATCTACTGTCCTTTCTAAGCTACTCCAGAAAAAAAAAAAATTTATCTACTCTTGCAGTAATGTTTGGAACTTTTCTAAGCCAAAATAAAATGCTTGCAGTCCAAAGCATGTGAACTTTGTAATTAAAAAAAAAAAAAAAAAAAAAAAAAAAAAAAGAAATGGGTTAACATAATGTGTAGCACCTGATAAGGAAAATTTACTTCATAAACTAATTTATGTAAGTAGAGCAAGGAGTTTTGCATAATAGATGTTCCAAGGAGGTATTAATACTCATCACTCTGCCTACTGCATGCAGTTAGCCTCCTTCCTTCAGTCTGGAAGGAGGAGCACTGTTGGAATCCCAAACAGTGCAAACTCCATGCAAAATAAATGTTAGTTGGGTATGTAACAAATACTCAGTGCGGAACACTTTGAAAAATTCTAGAGTGCACTCTGTTGGTTTAAAGGAAGATAGCTTACTGAACTGAAGAGAATAAACTTTCTTTAGACAAGTTTTTCTATGCTTAGGGAAGTTTTGTCATGAAAGGAAACATGACTTAAGGAATTTACTTGTTTATACAAGATTTAGGTAGAACCAAGGTTCAGAAATCCAGTGAAACTTTTATACTAATGCTTAGTCCCATAAGAATACAAGCTGTACTATTATTTTGGTTTTAGTTTATTAAGTCCCTGTGGTTTGTAGCTTTTTCACCTGGCACCATCCCAAACTTAACTGAACTAGATAAATATGGTGAATAACTAGAAAACTACTGAAACCTTCACAATAGTGAAGGTGTCCCCACCGCATTTCACTGATATCTGCAAGGTTTGCCTGTTATGTGAACTGTAAGTGCAGGAAACAGCAATTTTCAAAATGCTTATATAAGAGAGTGGCATGCCACAGGCCACGGACCACCAGCAGCAAGGCGGGATGAGTGTTCTGAATAAACAGGCAGGTTCTGCGGGAACATTTTGTAGACCAGCAGCACACTCTGAAGACCTTGTTTTCCTTGTAGCTTATCCTTCCACATGTTGATTACCACAATGGCAAATTACAGTGAGGCTGGCAGCTGCGTTGGAAACTGCCTGGAAACAAGACAAGGGTCAGCATGACCTGCCAGAAGTGTGATCTCCTGTCATGTGTGTGAGGAGAATTTCTCTTTTCCTGCCTCTAAACAGCTTCTCACATTTCTTCTGTGACTCCTTCTGTTGCATTGGGCATCTTTAGGGCATGCTCTGATCATTAGGGATGTTTTCGGGAAGTGTAAATAATAGCAGAGGCATATTTTGAACTTTCCTTCCAGCAGCAGCAAAAGGGCCAGCAGTTCACATCATGTGGCTGGTGCTTTAACAAGTATACATCTATTCCAGTAACATTTTCCCACCCAAACATAGTGTCCCGGCGCTCTGTGAGACCATGTGCTTTTTGGAGTCTGGGTCACCCTGACACTACTGGAAACTTAACCATTTAGGCTCTGCCCTTTGCTTAATTCTTGTGCTGCTAGTCCTTGGTCACAAAGCGACAGCACAGAAATTTAAGCCACCTTAACTTTATGGGGGAAACGGCTGAGATGGCACACCTGAGTTGTCCATCTGTGGAAATCGTGGAAAGGGAAACAGGAAAAAGGAAAGAACATCAGGAAAAGCTCTTTTTTCCTGAAGCGATTGTAGCATTGTAACACTGGTGTGCGGCTGGTTGATACAGTTTGCGCACCGGCGTTTTGCGCGGGTTCTGACGGTGTTAATGAACAAACCCGCTGACGATGGAGCGGAGGTATCCCTGGAGCTACAGGAGTGGGGGCTGCTCTCTCCCGTGGGACAGCGCCCGGGACGGGCTGCCCGTGCTCGGCAGGCGCGGGGCGGCTGGACAGCTCTCCCGGGTCCCGGAGGGAGCCGGCGGCCGCGGGGAGAGCGGAGGCACCCAGCCCTCCGGCCCCTCGTCGGCGGCCCCGCCTCGGGCGCACCGACGTCAGCGCACGTCAGGGCCGAGCCCCTCGCCCTCCCTCCGCCGCGGGTTCCGCTGTCCCGCCGCTCCTGCTCCCCGCGTCCCGCCTTGGGCTCCCGCAGCCGCCGCCCCAGCCCGGCCCGGCTCCCGACCCCGCTCCGCTCCCCCACAGCCGCGCAGCGCGAAGATGGCGGCGTTCAAATTCCTCCTGCCGCCCCTCGGCCGCCGCATCCTCCTGCCCGCCGCGCGCAGGGCTGAGGTAAGGGCGAGGGGCGGCGGGGAAGGCGGCTCCGAGCCCCTGCGCCTCGCCCTGCCCGCCGGGTGACCTTGGCGGGGACCCCGCCCGCGCCGGGCTGGCCGTGTGTGGCGGCGGCCCCGGGGGCGGCCGCCCTGCGGCCCCGGGCAGGCGCTTCCCGCCCCGCGGGGAAGGGGAGGCTTGTCCCGGTGCAGCCCCGCGGGCGGCGGGCGGAGGAGGGAGGGCAGAGCGCGGCCCCGCCGCAGGCCCGGGCCCGCGGCGGGTGGGGATGCGGTGACCTTGAGAGGCTGGCAAGGAGGGTTGGCTTTGACGTTTTTTGGTCTTGTTTTTATATTTATTTTATTATTATTAATTTGGTTCTCCATCATTTCAAAAGGCAGCACAGTTACAGTGTGTTACTCTGTATTCCCATGTTGCTCCCACCTCCTCCTCTCCCGAAGGTGGACGGCAGGTGTGCACAGCTTGCTGGCAGCCCCGCCATCTACTGCTATCCATAAACGTGTGCTGTGCAGACGCACAGCTCCCTTCCTACGGGAAGCTTCTGCCAAACCTCACAGATTTAATGGTTTCCAGCCCACATGTAACCATAGCAAAGTTTTTTTTTTTTTTTTGCTTCTTCAGCCAGAAGTGTCTCTGTGGCTTTAATAAATTTAAAATTTGTTTTATTTGAGAAAGCTCACCTTTTCATGCCTGTATTTACTACTCCTGATATCCTTATGGACAAATCTTAGCACTTTCAGGTTTTGTTTTACTATGTCGTATTTTTGCTTTTCCAGATAATTAAAATTTGTTGATTATTCTAGGAAGGAGCTCATCTGTCCCCATGTTACTTCCTTAAACCTGCCAGAATTGCTGGCAGTTCCTGAGGTCTTAGCTTGCTGTCTCGTGTGCAGGAAAGCATGGGTGATCCCTGGTGCCTCAGGTCCCTGAAGGCCCATTGCTCTCAAACAATGGGGTGGGTATGGAAGGGACAAGGAGAGGATCATATTTAGAAGAGCAGATACAGTCATTGGAGACATCCAACCTGCGAATGCACACTTGTGTAACACATACTTCTCTGTTCACCACTGCTGCACACAGTCGGGAAGATTAAAGAAAAGGTACCACGTGGCCTCTGAAATACTTTCCTGTGTGTGGGTACAGGGACACAGCAGGGGCCTGGCTTCCCTCCAGCCCTGGCCCTCAAGCCCTCTTGCAGCCCTGTTGTACTGTGATTCCCAAAGCTTAAAACACCTCTGGACCTGTTCTGACAGGTCCTTCCTGTTCAGAGGTCCCCATCACTGGATGCAGTGCTCCAGGTGGGTCTCAGCAGAGCAGAGCAGAGGGGCAGAATCCCCTCCCTAAATCTGCTGGCCACACTGCTCTGGATGCAGCCCAGGACATGTTTGGCTCTGGGCTGTGAGTGCTCATGTCTGGGGCATGTCCAGCCTCTCACCCACCAGCAGCACCAATTAGCCAATGAGTTCCTCTCCCAGTCTGTACAGGCCTGGGATTTCCCTGATGCAGGTGCAGCACCAACATTTGGCTTTGTGGAACCCTTTAAGATTCCCATGGACACGCTTCTTGAGCTTGTTCAGGTCCCTCTGGATGGCATTGTATCCCTCAGGGTTATAGGCTGCACTAGTTAGCTCGGTGTCACCTGCAAACTGGCTGAGTGTGTAGTTGATCTCTCTTTGTCGTTGGTGAAAATATTAAGCAGTCTGGTACCAGCATGACCCCCTGAGGAACACTATGTGTCACCAATACCCATCAGGACTCTGAGCCTTTGGCCACACCCCTCTTGGCCATCCAACCAATTCCTCATCCACCAAATCCATTTAATCAAATCCATCTCTCTTCAAATTAGAGACAAGGATGTGGAAGACTGTGTCAAAGGCTTTACAGAAGTGCAGATGAATCCCTTTGTGGGAATGATAGCCCTTCCCTTGTCCACTGATGTGGTCACTCCATCACAGAAGGAATATGATCAGGCAGGGCTTGCCCTCAGTGAAGCTGTGCTGGCTGTCCTGACTCATGTTCCTGTCCTTCTGTGCCTTAGCACAGCTTCCAGGAGGATCTGTGCCACAGCCTTCCCAGGCACAGAGGTGAGGTTGACAGGTTGGTAGTTCCTGGGGTCCTCCTTTTTTACCCTTTTTAAAGATGGGCACAATATTTCCCTCAGGGAAGTCTCAAGGGACAGCACCTGACTCCGTGACTTTTCAAGTACCATGGATCAGTGGAGAAACGTTCATGGTATAATTTGGCAAGCAGAAGGCTGTTGCAGTTTTTCTCACATGACATTGTTTCTTATGACCCACATACTGATTTTTTATTGAGCCCATCAAAGCAGAGGAACATCAGGGTCTCCACTGGGAAGGAGGTAAGCTTCCATTCAGAAGGGTTTTCTTAATATTCAATATAAACTCGTGCAGCTTTAATTATAAAAAGAGAACAGCTTGTGTAATATTGAAACTGAGCCAAAATTTGTTGCCCCGGTTGTAACTGTAAGAAACTCTTAAGGTAACTCTTCAGGGAAGAATTGGACTATGGTCTTCAAAGTGTGTAGATTACCTTGTTTATTTATTAATTTTTCTCTCTTTTGCAACATAATTTTTTTCACTCCTGCTATCAAACTAGAACTTGAAACACCAGTAGTACTTCAGCTTCCAGATTTTCTGAATTTATTGAGAGTGTTTCAACATAGTGACTTAGGTGTCAATTTTAATTCTGGTGGCTGAACAAATACTTGAGTAGTATTAATGCATGGCATTAGTGGTAAATGCTTAAAGAGAAAAAAGGTAACTGTGACCTAAGTACATAACAGTACATACATAAGTTATGATGACTACTGTGTAATGACTTTGCACTGTGAGGTCCGGGTTTGAGGATGGAATTTATGTTGATTTCCCTCTTGCCCTCCATATTTCATGCTTTTCTTGGAGTCTCCTTGATTATGGGCTGTTCTTCAACAATACGAGGATCTCTAAGACTGTGTTAGAAAGTTCTAAGACTGCACAAGGAAACTGAAGGAAGGTTCACTCTGTCCCTGCTTATCATACTGCCGGTACAGTGCTGTCCTTCCTATTGTTCTGTGACTTCCCCTCTAATTTTGTGGTGGTGTTGTCTTTCTTTCAGCAGTTTCTAATTATGTTTAGTGTCTGGATGCCTTTGAAGACCATGCAGAAGTATGTAGTCTGTGGATGGCTCCAACTTGGGCTGAGGAATTGCTTTTGTAGATCTGTTCTCAGAAAGGCACAATTTGTCAGTAATTCAGGATGGAATTCTCTTGTTTTGGAGACCTGCACTTCCCTCACTCCTCACGCTGCTCTCTCTTCCCCCGCACCCCATCCCTTAGTATTTACAGCAGCAATATCTTTTTTTTGTCTATTTTCCCCTTATCTAGGCAGAGGTATGGTCTTAATTTTAAAGCTACTGTATAATGCCTTTTGTTCATTCACTTATTTCTTTTATTGTTGTTGCAGATCTGTGGATGCTATTTTTCCACCAGCTGTCATCGCAACACCAAATTTTACACGGATCCTGTTGAAGCTGTAAAAGATATACCCAATGGGGCAACTATACTTGTTGGTGGTAAATATTTAAATTCTTTATGGTTGCAAGCATGTTATGTTAATGAGATACTTTTTGCTCATTTACCTTGTTTCTTTTACTATTAACTAATTTGAGAATCCAGGGAATTGTATGATTTTTTTAAACAAGTGGTTTCCTAGTCTGCTCATGAGTGGCATACTCTTTCAGTGAGAAAATCCAGGTTGTGTCATAGGGAAGGGGAAAAAAACCTCAGAAAAATAGGTTTTTTACCCAACTGGTGAAAACCAAAAATGACTCTATTTGGTTGAATCCAGAAAATGAGCTTGGGAATTTTCAAGATAGCATTGTTATTTCGCATGGTTTGATTATTTTGTGTTTGAATTCTCTGTATCCTTTGCATAGTCTCTGGGTCTCTGTGACCTTCAACAAACTGCCTAACCTGCTTCTGTGTTAGGAGGTGTTACACTTAATGCTTATGTGTGGCATTTCCAGAAGAGTCAAGAAGTTGCATCATACCAACTTTCACTGTGACTTGAGCTTTTAGATATTGTAGATGCTTTCCACAATTTCATGCTGTTCAATCTGCATTTAAAAAAAGTGATTTATCTATTTCTGAAATTGTTTTAATATTGCAGAAGTAATGAATGTAACTTTGTAAAACACTTCAATGGAGATACGTAATGAGGCAAAATTTCTTCTGGAGGAATTTTGCCTTTTTTTTTTGGTTTTTGTTTGTTTGTTTGTTTGTTTTGTTGATTTGTGAAGAAAATATTTGAGGCCAAGACAGGTTGGCCTTGAAGATCTCAGGGGTCTTTTAGGACCTAATTGATTCTGTGAAAAGGTAGTGCTTGTAGTGTGACATGTTATTTCATTTTAGATGTACTGGAGTCTTGCATAATAGATGGGAGTGTGAGGCTCTTGTGCCTTGGTGGAGATCTGTATTACTGTGATTCCAGGCAGATATCCTCCCAAGGGTGTTCAGACTCCCAGAGTTTTATCACCTAATTACACAGGCTAAGCTACGGGATGTGCAGCAAAGATAGGAAGGTTAAATGGGTGGAAAGAGAAGGAAGAATTATGGCTACAGGGTTGAGGACACACATAAAGAGAGCCATGGCCCTGGAGCACTTCCCTAAAAACCCACTCTGATGGGTAAAGAGCTTTCGCCAAACTGGGAAGTGTCTGGTGAGTGGGAGATTCCAGTACTAGAGGGCAAATCTTTCTGGAAACATTGGTTTATTTATTTGACTAAGGAGCTTCTCAGAAAAGATTTTTAATTCCCATACTTCTGAACATTCTGTGATCTTTCAAACACTTGTTACATAATCAATTTTTTTTTATTTTGTGTAGGTTTTGGATTGTGTGGGATTCCTGAAAACCTCATTGGGGGTTTACTGAAGACTGGGGTAAAGGGAATAACAGCAGTCAGTAACAATGCAGGGTAGGTATCCATATGTCTGTGGTTTAAAAAGTACAGACTAAAAATTCCAATTATGTGAAAAGGCTGATATATATGAAAAAATCTTTCTTTTCACCATCATAATTTTGTATTAACCAGACACCTTGGTTTGAAAGTGTTTTTTTTTGAAGGAGTCCAGGAAGCTCAGTAATATATATATACTCTACTTTGTCAAGGACCAATTGTCATGGTGTAGAGTTGCAGTTGCAGTTACAAATATTTATATTTAAATTTAGGTATACTTAACTGGTTTACTGTAACTGGAAAGTCTAACTGAGAGGCTTTAAATCAGTATCAGTGATTTTGTGTGTAGGTTTTTTTGTGAAGTTCCAAATAGGGATATGTTTTTTAAACTCAGTTTGGTGTTTTCTGACCCTCTTACTGTATTTGTTAGTTTAAAAAAAACTCCAAGCAACACAAAACCAGCAGAGAATATCTGTGATGAATGAATGTAGAGTCTCTTTAATGGATCTTCAGATTTTCGATTTATTTTTTTGTAATGTTTGCCCCTTAAGAAATTCATGTGGGGTTGAAATTGAGAATACTTCTTTCATGTATAATTTCTCATTTTCTCATTCAGGCTAATTTTTACACAAGCTCATTGCAAGTAAGCTCCACAATACGTAATGATCTCCATATAGAGAAATAACTACAACCACTTCTGTTGAAGCACATTGATGAAAATATAAATGAAATTAAATAAAAATATTAATATGTAAAATATTAATTGCATATTCTTTGGATAACAGATTATTTGTATTGGTATTTAGTACATACACAGTCAAATTTAAGCTCCTTAAAATCTTGTGGGAAACAATTTCTGCTGGATGATAAAAAGGAGAAAGAAAGATAATTTTGAGTGAAAAGATCAAACACTAGAGTAGAGATCATTAATTTTCCTCACAGTCTTATTTTTGAATAACACACATATATTTGCAGATAGAATGATTGCACAGATGTTCCTGAAGGGGAGGTGAAAGTCTGAGTATGAGAAAAGTAGAAAGAGGAGCATTGTGGAATAGGATGAAAAGGAAGACATTTTGTATTCTATTCAGAATATAGTTGCTAATCTTATAGGTTAGATTTAATTTATGTTGAAATAATGTTAACTTTCCTGAAAGTTCTTTGGATTTTGAGGTGGAAGTGATTTCTGTAAAACTATTTGCTCCTGGCAGGAAAGCAGAATTTAATTCCTATTCTCTTGAAACTAGTTTTGTATGAGCATTCATGAAGCCTAGAGAGTTCCTCACGGAACAGTGTAACAAAATTAAAATGCTTAAGGACATCTAGAATTTTTTTCTAAAAGTCTAGTTTGTAAAAAAAACCCCAAGTTTTACTTTCCTGTTGAACAGTATAATTTATTTAAAAATTTAATTAATAATAAAATAACTGTTTAATCTATCTTTGCATTTACTGTATTACTACAGTGTGAAACTTAGCCTGCTATAGTATGGTAGTGTTTGGGAACCAGGTTAAAACACAGCTGTTGTCAGAAATAAAGTCAGAATTCTCATCACAGCAATTGATATAATTTCTAATCTTCTAATTAGCCTGTTAAAAAGCATGCTTTTCTTATACCATGCATCTTCTTAGCAACTTCTAATACCATGTCCAAAAGTTTAGTGGCATTATCAAATATTGGGACACTAATAAATGCTTTTACAACTGAAGTAGCACAGCAATCACATACAGCAGTTGTATTCAAAGGGTCAATTGTTCCTGTAATGTTGAGGTGTCAGGCACTTTGAGGAATGAGTAATTTGCCACTTTCAAATTGCCCTATGGTCTAGTGTGCTTTTCTTTGGTGACCTTGTGTTGCAGTTGATGCCTGGCTGTGTTTCAGTTTCTTGACTGCAGCTGCTTTCTTTTCTCCAGCTCTTCCAGCAAATAGGAGGTAATTGGTTGTGGTCAGGTTTTCTTGTCCTGCAGGGGTTAGCAGGCAGCCTGTAATTGGAGCAGGGAAGGAGCCAAGTGCACGGACAGACAGCCCATTCTGGAGAGCAGTGCATGGATTAAGTCACATGCCTTTCAATATGTGAGAACCATGGAATGTTACAGAGCTGTCTGTTTATAACTAAAATAGCAGCAATGGAGACAGCGATTCGCTTGCATCTCAGGCAAAGCAGTAATTAGGAAGTCCTGAAGTGTTCTTGCCAACTTCTCTAGCTGGAAACAAGGTTCAGCAGAGCCTAGAAATGCTTGGCAGTGTCTGGAAACTACTTTAAAGGAGTAGGATGTTCACAAGTTCACATCCTACTTACTGTTCTGGGCTGCAGTGTCGTTGGGAGGAGATTCCTCCTGCAAAAACTTGTTCAAATCATGCAATTGCTGGCAAGTGAAGTCTTGTTTTTTGGCCTATTTAAGGCTTTTCAATGACGGGTTGTAGAGTAGTGTAATGGGGTGGTCTTTGTCACACTGCTCAGCTTACTGTGTGCTGCTGCACATTGTGCCCGTGCTCATGCTGTGTGCTAGCCAGCAAAACAGCACCTTTAAGAGCAGTTACTCTTTTGCCAAGCCAAACAAGGCAAAGTGTTTGAAAGTGAAGCAGTTCAAATATCCAGTACCTCTGGTATTTACACAACTTGCTGCAGGGGAAACTGAAACTTGTGAACCAGGGCAATAGTGCAAGATAACTGCAATAGATAGATGTGCTTCTGAAATACATCCTCTCACACCTTCCCCTATAACTTGTTTTACTTATATTGTTCCTACTGTAAATACTATATTTACACTGTGTTTTTTTAAGCCCTTTAAATTGAGAGTATTCCATCTCAGTAGGCTACCAAAATCCATTTTATTATGGATTTTCTTAGTTCTTGTTTTAATTTGATTCGTTCTACATTTGCCAATATTAAAATTAATGAAAATATTTAAAAATGGTAAATAAATGAAAGTAAATTAATGGATAAATAAATAAAAATTTTAAATCTCATTTTAAACATTGATTCAGTAAATTCCCAACATAGCTGGGATTAATATGCCATACCTTTTTGGCTATTTTCTCCATGTAACTTAATGGTATTTGTTGCATTCTGATTTGAAGTTACGTGGAACTTGGGACTTGAGTGTTTTGACTCAGACTATGCTAAGACTTTGCTAATGCAGGCTACCTGTTGTTTCATGACCTGTGTTGCAACAAAAACTATCAACTTAGCCAAATATTTAAAATGAAAATTTTAAAAATGTGCATAAAATTATTATTTTTAATTAATTGTGCTTAATAAAATGGATAAGTAATTTTGGCTATAATCACATACTGAAATCACCATTTTCGTTGTATCTACAGCCTGAATAGGCTGAATTTTACAGATTGAAAATGAAGCCAATTATTTGTTATAACTGTGTGTGTGGTCTGATTGTTTTACCACATTTTGGTTTTGTCTGTTTTTTAGACTTAAACATGCATCCTTTTTGAATGCAGCAGTGTTGAATAAAAGGTGTTCACTTACACTAAAAATAGAGAAGTCACAGTTAAGATCATAATTGCTTATCACCTGGGTGATCATCTGAAAGGTGATTGACAGCATCTGTCAGATTATCACTGGTTTAGACTGTGTTCTTATAAGGCATTATCAGCTTTTTGAACCTTTGGTCTCTGTATTCTTTTTTAAGGTCTTTTAATGTTGCAATGTTATGCATTAGAAAGGAAAACATGACTTTGAGCTTTGCACTTTTGAGCATGATGCCTGAGTGCCATTACTTGGCTTTGTTAAGCATAATACTCTTGTTTTCGTAATGGGTTGGGCTATTTGTGGTTCCCAAATCCCTGAAAGGCAGTACTCTGTGGGATCAGATGCAGTGGTAAACTCACTGCACCCCATGTTCTAAAGCACACAATATATCTTAATATTCTTTGCAATTAAATAATTTGGATTTAAAACAGCTTTGATAAATGTTCATAAGTTAAAGTTTAAGGTTATCTCATTTTTCAGTCATTGCTTTGAATTTTATTTTTCTGTTAAAACCAGAATGTGTCTGCCATATTTGCCGTGGATTCCCTGGATTTTCTTGCATGCAACCCACATGGCTTAATTCCACTGCTATTCTTACTAAAATATCTATCTAGCTATCTATCTGTCTGTCTGTCTTTATCTTACTTGCCCTTATTAAAAACATATTCAAATGTAAATGTATATATATTAAAAATACCATCATATGGAAATTGCATTTTAAATCACAGAAGGTTATAAAGTTTTTCCATATGGTATTAAGTACTGAGTGGTTTTAGTGGAACAAATTAGGTAATCTCTTGGTTCAGAAAGTTAAAATGTACCTGAAAATGTCTGAGGAACAGGCAAGGAGGCTTCTATGTACACAGAGATGGGATCAAGGTGATGCTCAGAGTGTCTTACATCATGTGTGTAAATTTTGTGTATTTATAAGAAATCCTTCAAATATTCCAAATTAGATATATTTTCAGAAACGGAAAAGAAGGCCACCTGTGACTCTTACCTCTCTTGGTAGAGAGAGAAGAGTGGAGTTATGTAAAATCCTGCACATGGCAAATAGCCAAAATCAGGAGACTATATATTTTCAGTGAATTTGATTATTTGAATTTGATTTTTTTAAATTGTCTTCATTCTTGTTAAAAAAATAATCTATTCAGGTGCTTCATTACTGCTGTTAAATTGCTGACACTGTTTGAACTGCAAATCCCTGAAAATCTCTCTAGGTCATCTAGCTAATTTTAGTGTGGAGGTGATTTAGGATTTTGGCAGGGCAAATTGTACTAACTTTGTATTACATGGAACTATTGAGAAATCAGCTGTGGAGATAACTTACTGGTTATGATGACGAATGAGAAAAAAAATAGATATAGAACTCGTCATGGTCGAGGAACTGGTTATAGAAATGACAATGAAAGTTAAACCTATCTTTCGGCTAGGTGACTTTTGAAGTGCGTGACTTTTGAAGTGAAATGCATTCATGATGACATTTAAATATTTATCAGATTACTTCTATATGATATACCTTCTCTGTGA